TTTTCCTGCTGACTGGTGAGATGGGATAATCGTACTCTTTTGCAATTTTGCCAAAAGCAGACTACAGATTTGCTGTTATGAGGTGGGAATGGACCGCAGCTCAAGATTCAAAGAGGTAGTGATTATAATAAAGGATTTCTTCACTCCAAGAAAATAAAAATCACTTTTATTGTCAGCATTACAGGACTTCCCTAAGCACCTTGCAGTTTTGAACACATTTCTCTTGACATTAGTACTGTTATCTCAATTTAAGAGATGGAAACCTGTAGCACAGAAATACTGCAGCCCAGCAGCTTCAAGACCTAAGGAATGTACATGATGTCGACCCTCGACTATGGAGCACAGAGAATTTTGGTGGTATCCATCTGTCGTAACCCTGGTCCCAGAGGAGTGTGGGAAGACCACTGTAGCTCTGCTTGAACTAGCTCAGCCTGCCCTCCAGCCTCTGCTCCCTGCCCAGTTGCAGTTTGCATTTACTTGGACAGAGCTGTCTTCCGTACCAGTTGTTAGGAATCCGACTCTTTTTAATTTTGGCTAAGGCCCATTGACTTTATATTATGTCTGGTGTAAAAATCCTCAACCCTCATTACTCAGTAGCTATTTAATGCACCTACCTAATGAAGAAACCTTAGAAAAAAGAGTATGGGGATATATATATTATTTAACCTTTTAAATCTGATAATTTAGAATAGGAAATGAAAAAAAAATCCAGTTTTAGTAATTTATTTGATTTATAATAATTTACTTTGTGTAATAGGACAGTTCATACATGAAAGGATCTCAAGGCCTAGTTTTATCAGTGACTGAGCACTGTTTCTCATATGATCAGCAACACAAAAATTATCATTAGCTGATACTATTATTTCAAGAGTAGTGTAAATTCTAATAATGATATTTTTAGAGGATTTCAATTATTCAGCTATACTAGCTTATTTACAGAGTAAACTAAAGTCCTTTCTTTCAAAATAATGATTATATTCCTTCTATCCTAACATTCTCTGGTAAAGGTAGGTGACAAATGTACATGTGACTATTCTATCAAAGAATGCAAGCTTGTTTCATCACAATTTATGTATGTATTTCCAGTTCATACAGGAAGAAAGTAACATCCTGAATAGCTGGTAAAAGATGCCTTCATATAATAGTCTGGGGCATTAAGCACTTAACAGTAGTCCTTATTAGCAAGTTTGTAATATAGAACAGTGTTAGAAGACAAAAGACTATTCCTTCATGTTCTTGAGAAACAAATGTACATGTTTCTGGGTATACGGAATCATTCCTTTTCTCAGCAAGTAAGACTTACTGTCTGCTAAGAGAAAAGCCAATAAATTTATTTACACAAGGAGAATATGTATTGGAAGGATTTCAGACAAAGATTCCAGATATTTCTTTTAAATGTCTACTGATAACTTCAAAGAAATTTTTATGTTCCTATTTATACAGGATAGATAAAACAATTAACTTTAATATAATAGCATTAACATATGTTCTCTACTAGTTCAAAACAGTTTGATTATTGTTATGCAGTTGCTTTGTTCCCCCCAACAAATCCACACTCTTGAAATAAACAGCAAATGGCTAAAATGTAAAAATAAATTTAAAAATACATTTTCTTACATGCAATGGATAATGAATAGCATGGTCAAACCCAAACAGCATGCATGAAGGCATTGGCATGGCAGAGGAGGCATTTGTCAAGTTCACATTCCATTTCAACACACAAAGGAACAGAGAAGAAAAGAAATGGTGAAAAAAAAAAGAAAAACAAAAGCCATCACATCAAATCAAGGTCAATATTCATTTCAAATGATAACCTGGCTAGCCACAGTTAAGGAGTCCCAAAGACAAATAGTCAACTTTACCAGTCCATCAGAATTCAAGTATACATTAACTCTTTGTTCTTGTTCTTTTTAAGACGTTATATCACCACACACTCTTTATAAGGTACTTACTAATAACTTTAAATAGATGAAGAAGCTAAGCGTATATAGATACATTATGTGATGTGCCTGAGGCACAAAGAAATCCATTAGAAATTAGAATAGAAAATTCCTAGCCCCGTACTTTAAATGGAAGACTATTTTCCCCACTACATCTTTTTCCCCTAAGAATGTGTTTTTACCAGTATTTGGGCTCCATAATTTTTTATTCCAAGGTTGCCATTTAGTGGGGTTTATTCCAAGCCATGAAGAAACAAACTTACTGTTCAGTTTGCTCTTCTCTTTATCCAGTCATGCACGCAACACGACTAGAATAAGCGTAACACCACCACATTCACCAGCACAACTTAATAAAACAAAAGTAAATCACTAGCAATGAAGCATGCAAATAAAGGGAGTGCAATCCATTTCAGCATGACAAATAAAGGCAAAGATCTATTACTTCAATGACAAATCAAGAAGGAAACAAAGAAAGAAAGAACTGGTGCAGCAACATAAAAATAAAAGTTGATTAAAATGTTGTCGTGTGTTTTGGGAGGTCAGTATTCTCACAAATACTATGGAAGACCTTATTTGCTGAGTTGCAGGAGCCTAGGTCCTACTTATACCTGCAGTACTAATGAAGTAAGAGGCTGTTAGGGTTTTAAAATAAAAGATGGAAAGAAGGCAACAAAATCCTGGGCCCCAGAGGGAGAACCAGGAGCATCTGGAGTGGATTGGAGCCTTTTCCAGAGCTGCACCTCCCTGGGCATCCAGCACAGCCAGGCAAACCCAGCAGAAGCCAAGTCATGCCACAGCATGCTGAGGGGCCAGGGGTGCTCAGAAAATTGAAATTTTTTTATGTTCCAGTGCTGCTTTCTCCAGTGCATAAACAAAAAATCTAGCCCAGAGGTGGTCCTCTACATGTGGTATAAACACAGCCACTTGAGACTTGGTGAAATGACTGACTTGAATTAGATCAGGATTTTACACCATGTTTTACTGGTGGTGCTATGCAAGCCACCGGTTTTGCATTATATATTCCCATATATGTAAGAAATTAACATGGTATACTGTACCTAACTTTGTTATTTTGCTAGTTACATAATTAATCTATTCCTCTAATGATTTTTAAGCTTTCATTAAGTGTTTTCTGCTCAGGGACTGCATTACATAAATGTTACTAATTTCCTTTTCCCTCATCAGGTTAATGGCATTTAATCCTCTGGAGTTGGGTTTGCTAAACCGAGAAACGTGACGTAAATAGCAGATAAAACATATGCCATACTCTGACTTTCCCAGAAAAAAAACCTAAACAGTTCATTCAAATTCTGTAATGTTATACAGCATTACAGCATAACACGGTACAATAAAACTTGGCAATAAAGTCATAAGAATGATCTCTTGACTTTGGGTTTATGCAAGCAAAGCCAGCACAAGTAGTCTCTTTTTTTTTCCAGTCTTCAAATTCATTTCAAGATCTGAAGAATAATTTTTACAGCACGGCTCTAATTAGCACCTATTAGTAAAGCACTATAATTTAATAGAATGCCCTTCACTACAGCCAATAACATGTTTTCTATTATTTAAACAAGGAAGGATGCAAGCTTCATGCTTTGGAAGCTGTTTGTCAAAGTAAACAGTTCTCTAGTTAGATTTTTCCTAGTAAGCAGGGCAGAAGCTTTCTAATTGTATTTCCAGGTCTATGCATTCTAATGCACTAATCACCTCCATCCAAAGTTACCTGTACATTGGGTCTCCTTTTTCTCAATTTAACTTTTGGTATGCCCACACCAATTTGCTGAAGTAACAAAAAAGCAGTAATTTATTTTTTTTTTTTACACTATTAGTAAACAGCCTACTTATAGAATGGAAGCCTTCCCTCAAGATCTGTACTCTCCAGTGCACATTTACTCGGAGCAGAGACTAGCCCTCATTCCAGTCAAGAGTTCTGAGCTCCCTGTCAGAATCACACACAGGTTTTGTCTAGGGAAGCAAAAACCAGACAGATGTTAAATGATGCGAATTAAGTTAGCAGAGAGCTCTCCCTCCCACATACTCTTCCAGAATTAAAATATAGGATAAGAAGAGTTTCACTTTTTGTTTACTGTTATATCTACTCTTAAAACCATCTCCTCTTGCATTTCTGTAAAAACCATAAACCATAAGACAAAATACTGGACACTACTGAAGGCATCTAGAATTTTGTAATTACTGATAAACGGATTTTGATCAGAACCATAGCGAAAGAGAAAAAAAGGACGCTAATCTTTAGAACAGATTTGGAATGGATTTACTCTTTTCAAATCTTACCTAATTAAGACTAATCTCGTTAACACATGCTTAATGCAATCACTTCAGTGACTATGTTTATTTGGTGGGATATCCACCTGTTCTCTCCCAGGACAATGGGAAAAATGCATGCACATATGCACAGACACACAAAGAAAATTGGCAGAAAAACATAAAATTAAGCATTGGTTTAAAAATATAATATAACTAATTACACAAAATTGAAAATTGGTATTTTAAGCAGTTTAAAACTACTAAACTGAAAGTTAAAAAAAAGATTCCTGTGTTATGCTTTAACATAGTTTTCATGTGCAAGTAAGAACATGACAGAAAAGTTCTCAATGATTTCAATATGCTTTTGAACCTGCCTTTTGTTAAATTTTCTTAGTTGTGCAAATGACTTTACAAGTTCTAAATTTATAGGGACTTCTTTTTGTGAGACAATACTGCAAGACAATTTCTCAAAATATTAATTGCGTTGAACCAGTTGTGATTTGAGGTAACAGATTTTCAGAAGGAAAGCAGAAGACATTCAGAAGAAGGGGCCATTGGAAGTTTAATACACCCTCACCTCTTCAAAGGTAAAGACGTAGTTATGTTTTAGTTTACATCTGTTGAAAAATTGCTGGCAAAGAGGGTTAAGATGTTGTTTGTTAATAAGTTAACAGCTACCAGGAGGTTCAACTAAAATTAATATGACATGTTAAAGAAAGTCCATGAGTTCTAAATATATCTGTCTTCATAGTGTACCTTAGTTTTAAAACGTAGTTCTTGTATCAGTCTGAATAGCATGCACCACCCCAAACAAACTGGGAGTGAAAAAGTCTAGTCTGTGTAACTGTTAATAACAACAATAACAACAACAACAATAATAATAATAATGCATATGCTTAATATTAATTTAGACATTATTCTACAACATAAAACATGTAACATAAAATAGACTTATAACTTATAAACATATGCTAAATCAAACATTTGAGCAGTATGTGAAAGCATCTCTGGACTTCCATATACTTTTAAGTAGAAAACTACACAGAGAAACCATGATAATGATAACCATGATTAGTATCCTAATCCATCTCGGTCTGCCTAGGTTTAAATGGTACGAGCAGAGTTTTTCACTCTGTAATTCAGGTTCTCCAGTGTTATGAGTTTACACTGCAGTATAGTAGCACATATGAGATGAACAGAATCTATATCCATCAGTTCCTCATAAGATTGTGCCTAAATCAAGAATACTGCGTTGCTTCTTTTTATGTTCCTTCTGTTAACAAAAAGATAGTTTCATCTGCATATAAGGAAAAGGTCAATAGACCACTTGCCATCATTTGCATTTCTAGTAATCTCTAATGAAGAAAACATTTGGTCAGTAACAAACTATATATTTGTCTCAGAATAATTCACCATGCAAAACCATTCAAAGCAAAACTCATTTTTTAACACATGGAAACTTAATGCACATATCCAGAAATAAAGTCAGTCTAAATTATGAAGACTACACAAAAACCTGCTTTTCCCTTTTTTTTTCTTTTATTTTTAAAAGGGTCCTTTCAAAATAAAGCAAAAGGGATATTCCATCAATAGTTAACATCAAGTTATTCTTTCTCTTCTTCAGAAGCATTTTTTTTCTTTCTTCTTTTGTTACACACTTGGCAAGAGATTTCAAACATATTCATTACTTCACCATGAAATTAATTCAAATATTCACAATGCTGACTTCCCCCAGCTTAAGAATTAAATGAATCACTAAGATATGTAGAGGCATTCTTCATTTCTTTTTCTGTCTTTGACAGTTAAAGATGTTGAAGTAGTGAAAAGGGGGTCTGCTCTCCCTCTTGCAGCTATGATAGGACTTTCTGGTGAAGAAACAAGAGAGGACAGTCTCACAGCCAAGTGGCCAAGGACTTGCTGCTATTCTGCCACAGGAACATGGCTGGGAGGAATAAAGTGATGGATATGCATCCAATTTACAAAAAACCCCCCAGTATTTCCATGCCTAAAGGCAACAAATTTCTCTTCTGCCATTTCTTAAGAAGCATACTAAGTGCTAAAAAATAACTGGGAGTAGAGTGCCACTGAAGTTTAAAAGCCTTACTAGTCTTATTTGCGTGTGTATTGACAGCTTGCATTTATCTTGGCCATGTATTGCTCAAACCATCTTAATAACAAATTTTAATATTGACAACTGAACTACATGAACATATTGTTTGATCTTCAATACTCACAGTGATTCATTATTATTTCTAACTTTTTATCTGTAAATAATCCATACATTTCTTTTAATCTGGAGAGATTTTTTTAAAATTATTTTTAGTTAATTGAATTTCATAATGCTGCATTTGTGCACTATGAACTCAAGACAAAATTTACTGAAAGTATGTTTCTAATGGAATTAAAATACAAGCATTTTCAAATATTCCACTAAGCAGAAGATTGTTTGACATAGGGAAACACTTTGCTAAAATAATCTGATTTCAGAAAAAAAATCATCCATTCATGTTGAAATATCTCATCAAAGCCAGGGAGGCAATTTATTTAAGAAGATACGTGTAATGTAGGGTCAGGACTACAGTTAATGGATATAAAGCCAGACTGAAATCTCAGGTTTAAGTTTTCCTGAAATTTGAGGGAAGTTGACTCCTATCAAATTTAGATAATGATTTAATCTTTAAAGATGAAAGGCCTTTCTCAAGTTGAACCACTAAAAAATCTAGCATTCTGGGAAATAGTGCTTGTCTAGATGCATCCCAACTCTGCAGCTCAGGTTTCAGCTCTGGTAAACAGAAAATAAGCAAATAAACAAATACGAAAATCCAAGTTATATACATTGTGTTTGGCCCTGATTTCTGTGCTTTTGCAAGTATGGAACTTCAATCTCTGAAATGAGAAAGCATCACAAAATAATCATGTGCACTAGCAAACTCCTGTTTGCTTTGAGAGCATCTTGCAACACACTACAAGTTCTTCACAATAATATTACAGTACCACTAGTTGGTTTTATGTTAATATGTATATTAAACCCCTTATTTCACATATATAAATCCCACATATATAAATGTAAAAAGTGTAAAATAGACATCTTTTTTATTTTATTGATAACCAAAGTCAATACAAGCCAATGCTGGTCTTTGTACTGACTGGAGTTGGATGAAGCCACATATGCACCGCAGATTTTCCTGACACTCCCACAACTGAGAAATCTTTACTATTGCTCTCTAGCACTTTCAGCAGATTTATATGTTTCTGTTATTTCTGACAACATCGCCTTATTACAGAGAAATAAATTAGAAGGTTTCTCATACCTTTGGTTGGAGATTTGGATGAAGTAGCACATACCCATTAGGATCAATTGCAAAATAGTATCCGTTTGGGCAAAGCTGAAAGAAATGAAGTTTAGCATTACAAGGTTTTAAGTAATAAAGAAAGACTAATTAATGTTTTTCAGCAATGATCAAATTGAGGAAAACACATTGCCTCAGGAATCATGAAATATGTGAGATATGAACATAGAGAAGATAATTTCATAATATTTACTCTTTTGTAATCATAAACTTGGAGAATAATTTAGGCTGATGGGACCACTACAGGTCACCTAGTACAACCTTTCACTGAAAGCAAAGCTAAATTCAAAATAAGATCCAACTTTAAAGTTGGACTAGGTTTCAAAGGGTCTTTGAATACCTCCAGTGACAATTCTACAACCTCTCTGGGCAACCTGCTCCAGTGTTTAATCACCCTCACAAGGATTTTTTTTCCTTATTTGCAATTGGAATTTCCATTGCCACAACTATGTTGGTTGCCTCTTGCCTTTTGCTATAAACCTTCAAGAAATGTCAAGGTCTGTCTTCTCTGTAACTCCCATCAGGTAACCCATTAGGTTTCTTCTTCAATTCGAATAAACCCATCTCTCTCAGCTTCTCCTCGTATGCCATGTACTCCTTGGCCGAATCAGTGGCTCTGCCCTGGACTCTGTCCAGCACCTCAGTGTATTTCTTATACTGAGGAGATCAAACTTGGACACAGTACTCCTGATGGAGCTGACCACTGCACAGTTGGCCTTCTTTACTGCAAGGGCACACTGCTAATGTACATTCAGCTTGTCTTCCACTATGACCTCCAGGCCCTTCCCTGACTTCTGAGGCAGTCTGTCCCAGCCTGTGCTGTGGCATGGTACCCCCTAGATGGAGGACATCGCATTTGCTTTCAGTCATATTCGTGATGTGCCTTTGCTTCCTCAGCTGTTGTTTTCCACAGTACTAGTTATGTTCTTAGAAATTCCCTAGCTAGATGACTTAATATATAAATCAGTCATACACAGTAGGGTACAGACAGACAAATATATTAAAGAACTTTTCTACAAAGAATTGTCCTATATAGATACTAAGTAGTATTATGAGATGAAATGACTGTGTACTCTACACTGTGATAAGAACCACTCAACTAAATAGCAGTGCCTTAAGCTACAGGAAAATAATTACGTGGAATATATCCCCCAGTGTAAAAGTTGGCTTTTACAGATGTATCCTGATGGACAAGTCACATAGAAGCACATATATGGCTGGAGAGAAAACCATCAGAAAATCTACAACAATGGAAAAGACTATATGAAAAGAAGCCTGCTGGTATTTTGACTCACATCCAGTCACTGCTGCATGACTTATGAAAGAGCATGCAAAGAAATCATACATAAATCAGACATAAAGAGAAACCACCAACCCAACGCAAGCAACTTACTGTAAATCGAGGTGTCAGTTTTTTTATGTCCTCCAAAGAGACATCAACCCCCATTACTCCAAGAATCAGCTGATTCTGGTAAGATTCCAAAATGTTAGAATATGTTTTGACATATTTACAATGCAGAATAAACGCAACAGTCAGTGAATTTTTGATTTTGCCTTAGTCTCTTCTTTGACATAAACTACTTGAAAAGTTGCCTACTTACTTCTGTTTCTATTCTAAGGATTTTAAATAATACCCAAGTGATTTAAAATAGCATTCAATACGTTCAGAATGTAGTATAGAATATGAAAACTGTTTATGAAGATGAATATGGATGCTTTCCTGGATGAATAAACAACAAATGTAAGAACAAGGTAAAAGCAAAAGCAATACATTAATATTGCCAGTGATGTAGATACTACATTACTAGCACCAACACAGAGCCGCTATTGCATTCTCAGGTTGGGCAATTGATAAGTGAGACCCTGAAACAATTAACCTCTTTTGGCTATGGTATAATGATGAATGAAAAAAAACCAAACCAACAAAACCAAAAAACCCCAGTGACTGTAACAATCATAAGCATTTGCAATCAGGGACTCAGGCACTACATTTACTTAATTTGTAATTTATTTTCCTACTACAGAAAAGGGGGCAGTCATGTACATAGTATCACCTGAATCCCTTCTCCATACTGAATAAATTTGGAATATGTATTGGAAGATGCATCTTGCAGTCTGTAACCTAAAATTCATGTAGGGAACTAAGTCAAGCAGATTCAAATTTTCCTCTCATTCCATCCAGGTCCTCTGTACTAGACCACAGCTGTTTTACTTCTCAGAAAGACATTCTTTGATAATCAGTAGTTTCTCACTTTGCAACCAGACTCAGTGAATTCCAGGCATTATCTTGTAGATAAGACTATGAAACCTTTTTTTTTGTTCTGTTTTGCTTTTAAAGGGAAACTAAGAGAACTATTCTGAAAGTAAATAAAATAAATGGTAGTGATCAAATTCATATTTGTTCATTCTGTGCCTATGTAATATCTGAGAATATCTGAGAAACTGAATCAAAGAATATCTTATCTAAACTTCTGTACATTTTGACCTGAATGAACAGGAGTATCACACCAAATGTACAGTATTTTACAACACACTGTAAAGCATATTTTAGGTCTAATTTTAAAAAAGCAGCATTTTGATTTTGTGAAAAGGACATAAATCGGTTCCTTATCTCACTGTAATAGGGATGGGGAATTGTATTTATTCAACACTTAGATTTTAGTCTAAGTACACAATACTATTGTATACTATTACAAACAATTAATTTGAAACCTCTACATCATTGCCTTTTACCCTGAAAGGTCGCAGCTTCACAGACTTGTCAGAAATATATCTGAGCTTTCTTTCTTGTCAAGACCTGAATAATTATCATCATATAGTTCCCATCTATTGAGCACTTAACGTACTCCCAGTGCCACCAGGTCACAGAGATAGATCAAGGAATGCCATATCCTGAAACTCAGAACTACAAAAAGGGTGATCTGCATTTTCTTGTTCCCAGGAGGTTATCAGGCAACTAGAGATGACCCCTTTGCTTCTGATGTACAAGACAATTAAACTGTAGAAAGCTCTATGGAAATACGTATTTTTCAAGGAGTTTAGCATTAAATTTAATTCAAATAACTTTGGTTTTTTGGGTTTTTTTTTGCTTTAAGTAACAGCTTACTATTTTCCCATTTTGTTCCTTTGTTAGATTGAAGACAGGTAGAGTTCCTGTAATCACAAGGCCCAGCTCCTAGGAAATAATCACATATAGAGGGAAGAAAAAGACCTTTTAGTTAAGTAACAAATATCAAACTATAATATATTAGAACAATCCAGGAATTACTGCAGCCAAACACTAGACTAGAGTGCTGGCTTTTAGTTTGTAAAAAAAAAAAAAACCAAACCAAAAACCTACATAATTAATAATAAATAAATAATGCTGCATAATTTTACACACAGAAAGTTAAAATTACATTTTTTGTGTCCCTGTGTTAGTGAGAATAATAAATTGCTTTTTAAAAATAGATGGTATGTAACAAGTTAGGATATAATAGTTAAATAAAACCTAAATGTTATGAAAACATATTTACAGCTACAGTTCTTACTGTACTAAATACTCCAGGTAGTAGGGGAGGAGAGGGAAAGAAAAGTAAAAACAAAAAAAGGATAAAAGCCAAATCAAACTTAAAAGATAGTAAATAGGTGGGCAAAAAATATACACAGGCAAAATCAACAGGAAAATCCAACAGATAATACTACTACTTTTCATATCATCACTACTTTTCAATGGCTTGCATTACTGTCCATGATCAGTTCTTCAAAATCAAAGTCTTTTTAGGAGAATAAGAGAAGCAAGAAATGGAGATGAATCAGAAGAAAAGAGAGAAGAGGATATTTTTTAGGAGAATTGAAGATATACAAAATGAAACAGGAGGGGTATGTATGGGGAACAACACCCTCTCCCCCCTCAAAAAATGTACAGTTAGAGAGAACAATAATTGTGAAAAAATTATGTCTAACTGGTAAACCTAAAAGTATCTGAAAATTCTGGGATTGTCTTGCAGAAAGTGAGGCCAGAGCAACACTGTAACAGAACCTGAAGAAACAGGGCAAGAAAAGAAGTGACAATTGCCACCAATACATCGAATTGGTAAAGACAGTCTTGAAAGATAGCATGAAATGAAAGTAACTCTTCAGGTTCTCATACCCTGAACTTAAGCTCCATTCAAATGTGGCCTCATATAATACATTTTGCAGTATTTTAGCCTTAGCCCCAAAACAGCTGCTGGACAGTAAGAGGAAAAAGCATAGGACAAAGTTCAGTGAGGCACAAGCAGGAGAAGGGCAAGCCCTACAGGAGGGAATTGCTTTGCAGAATTTAAGATAAAGAACCAGTGTGACAAGTTAGTCCCAATCCCTGCTAAAACCAAGAATCAGAAAAGATTCCAGAGTGGATTAGATACACCTGTGCCTTTATGTTCTCCTCTGTGATCAGGACATCCACAGATTTCAGGCTTTACCTCAACAGTTTAGCTCTGGTTGGTCTTCACTTAATAAATATGTTAGCAAAAAGAACATCTCCTACTTTTTATAAATATATATGTATGCACAAATATATATATATAATTATATATACACAAACATAACACATGAATGGAGAAAAGCTTGAAGGAAAGACTGAATGAACCCACTGAAAACATAAAGCAACACAACGGAATTCTGCAGGTATCACTTGTTTTACTTCATTAAACAGATCTCTTTCTATCTCCAGTTACAAATTTAGCTTTGGCTTTACAACAGGATATGTACAGAACGTATGAACTTTCGTCATAACATCCTTTATGTTTCCAGTAAGTACCTCAACAGTAACCAAGAAAACATGGTTAATGAACTTCTGGCCATTGAGATTCCAAATAAAAACTAGTTCCTCTGTGTCACAGTCAGTTCTATGATGTGTTGATAAAAATTTTACAGTAATGCTGACTGACGGGAAGAAGTGGATTTTGACATGACATTAGATGACCATGTGAACTTGGATAAATACATGATTCCAGATGACCGTTTTGCAGTAATTTTTGCCTAGTTAGAGTTACTCAGAAGAAGGTTATCTAGAGCAACAGAGTGGATTGCTGCTAATAATACTTTGCATTTCGTAGTTTCCCGCGTATGTTTGTTTTACAAGACCAAAGTGATAAATTCAGCAGTAAGGAAAGCATTTCATCTGTCTTTTTGTTTATTTCCCCATTATGTACTCTGCCCAATTAAAGAAATCATTACCTTGAGCCAGCAAGTAATTACAACAACCCTGATACTTTAGAGGTCCAGGTTCAAAATCTGTGCAAATACCTGGTAGCATTGACCGGTTTCATTCTGCCTGGAATGCTTTAACATAACAGATGACCTCTACTGAAGCACAGGTACAACACTGGAATACTACTTTCTTCTTTTTTAATTTTGTTAATTTGAGTTCAGGACAACAATAACCTGCACTTAAAGATCTGTGCATAGGATAAACTGCTTTTCTCTGTTAAAGTTCAGGACACTTAGGAGGATACTAGGTGCAAGTAATGAGCAACATGTTAGAAATAGCTTTTCATAAAATTGCTCTACTGAAGTGTACAGGTGCTGGAAATGCGAGACAATTATGTTTGGAAATTGAGTCCTCAAGACTGATTTGATAAGATTCTTACTTTACTAGAGATAAATACAGATCATACCAGAGCATCCAGATAGACATTTGTCCATTGGACTTGTTTGGCTTTCTCTCCAGCTAAAACCATTGGTCTTCCCAAAACATCCAGATATTCCTGCCAAAAAGAGTAATACGCTCATCAGAAGGCAGTTATTAGATCAAGTTCAGAAACAGCATCAAAAATAAACAATAATGAAATAAAAACAATTAAAAGACCAGTAAAAAAAAGTCAAAATTCACCACTAATTCAGGAGCATTATTTAAGTATTTCTTTAAAATTATACTACCCAACAATTCAGTTTGCAGTGCTTACTGCCAAGGCAATTCCTACATTTCAGTCTCAGTCACATGGACCTTACACATCCAAAACCACTGCTCTCTTTCCACAAAGTGAGAATTACAACTACTTCTGTTCCAAAATTAATTGCTAATGACATAATGAAATTACAAGCAGATTGCAGAACCTGCAACCCAGAAGACAGAGTGGGTGATGGAGGGTGAGTGGCGTAGCAGCTGGGCATGTGAAGCTCCTACAGCAAGAACTTGCATAATTTCTATTGAAACAAAAAAATCAGTTTTAAAACCCAATAGTCCCTGCCTTCCTTCAGTCATGGAGTAAGGCTAAAACTGGTGAGCTTGTGAGATGTCAGACTTCTGGTCTGGTTTGGGAGTGGTTGCCATCAAACTTGTTTCAGTCTTCAACCTTTTCTATTTGTCTGATCATATTAGGGATATTTCTTGCCAGACACTATCTGGAACAGTTTAACAGAATCAAAGGACTCTTATTTAGGCCAAAAAAAGGACTCATTTTCTGCCAAAAAATGTCATGCCTGGCCTCGGAAGGACAAAGAACTGCTATGATATTTCTCTGCTTTTCCGGACATGTGAATACATGGACTTTCAGACAACTGAAAAGAATATTTGTTCATTTACACTGTCAGTTTGGATCACACCATATAATTCCAGGGTCCCGTGCCCTTAATTATCGACACGCATGGCTGCTAAAATTGTCCTGCATCCTTTCTGAAGGACAAAAGCTGTGTCTCTCCCAGACTGGTTGGATCAATGCAGGAACCTCTCCTATAATCAGGATTGTACCAGGTCACTGCTTCTGCCCAGCTGAGTTCAGATACTCGAGCAGGGCTATGCCCTCACACACATCCACGGCCTTCTCCACGTAATACAAACCCTTAGGATCATGCTGCAAGTATGGCAGGAGACAGACTAGGATTGTCGAGACACATCATAAAAAATTACTGGTTTTATAGAACTTTATAAAAAAATTCTTGCCATGTCTCAGGATCAAAGAGGGACCGTGTAAGGTCAGGAGGAAAACTGAGCCCAAAACATAATCCTTGTGCAGAGACGGTCTGCAGGATACAGATCACTTCAAACGCTACGTTGTGTGCACATGGGCAGCCTACTTTAGAGGATGCTAGCGTGAGTACGCATGCAAGCTGCTGTGGGCCAGCTGGCCAGGGAAGCAGGGATCACATTGTAAACTGGCTCACTGAAACTATTAAAAATAAATAAATAAATTAGAATACAGAATACTACCTCATATGTAAAAGAAAGCCCTATTTTTTTCTCTGTTCTTAATGTAGTGTATCTTAAAATTTAATTGATTCAAACAGAGGTGAAATGCAGCATATTTAAGGACAGAAATTACTCCAGAAAATCCAATTGTTTGTGTTACAATTGTATCTGCATTTGGCCAACACACTTACCTGCGTGTTTATTCTTATGGCTCCAATGGATGGAATTTCATAATAATAACCTAAAATTTGGAACAGAAATAATGCCATCTTACTATAATATATTGTTAGTCTGTTAAGCTTGAGAAATTTCATTTAGCTTGTAATTTCTAATTTAATTTTTATAGAAATTATCATGTATGAATGAAATACTTTTTTAGTAGACACCACCATAACGTGTGGCCACATATGATCACCATGCCATATAGGCCAAGCTAGTTACTTTTACGCATTGAGAGTATGTAACATGTTTATTTGTCTGTTGGTTTTAAAGCTGAGATAATCTAATGAATTTGCACTGCTGAATTCCCAGTTACTCTGATGTGCAAGTATATGTTAACGCTCATCTTAATAGACGGTGATAGCAACATAATTACATGCTGAGTGCATATAGGAAGGCGAGTATAGGTAGTCTGCCACAACAGTGAAGATCATAGCAGAAAAATATAAGGCACTCTGTGGAAAGGATGAAAAAATCAAGCTGATATTTCTTCTAACTAAACATCAGAAGTGTCTTTATTCATCATTGATTATATCTCTTATTTGTTTGAATTAAAACTATTGCCCATATGCACCAGTAAGACTGAAAAGACAGGCACTGAGCTCCAGTTTCAGGCCAAGTGGTTAAGTCAAATTGGAAGGAAGTGGGGAGGACAGGAGAGGTAAGAGTGCTCAGGTTAGTCATTTACTTTGCCATAAGCAATGCATGACTTGATAATAAATTAAAACTTTTAATTAAGGGCAAATTAAATAAAACTTTGCTTCTTTGGATATAGTCACATCAATTTTGGACAGAAATGACCACTTTGCCTCGATAATAAAATGCCATAGGTGGTTATGCTTTAAGCCAGCTGGTCCCATTTGCTTTAAAACAATGGGGTTCACATGCACAGAGTATTTTGAGATACAAAGACGTTAGTTAAAAAATCTCTGTTCAAAGAAACAAACATTGATTTTCTGTAACTGACAATAGGATCTGCTGTTTGTGGAGTTGTAGTATCTTGTGCATAATGTAGGGATTCATGAGGCTATTATATGTAAGCCATTCATACAGGCTATGGATTCTTCTGTATCACTATTTTTTTTCTGTATTTACATCTTTGTCTTTATCTTACCTTTGGTTTGTTATTCTCATGCCTGAGAATCATATCTTATCCTCCTTCCCTGGCAGTCTTAGTTTTCAAGACCCTTTGTAATATATCCCACCTCTCACCTCTTGCTTCTTAGTGATTTGTAAAATACTTCCACATTTTCGGTCAGGCCTGAAAATTGCTCTATTTAAAATATTATACAATATTGTTTGATATTTTCTCTATTTTCTATTTATCTTTATTTATCTCTTATTTCTTATTCCATAAATATACTGTGAGGTATTTGAGACACCTCTTTCTCACATTCTTTTTAAACATTTCTGACCACATTTTTTCTGTAGAAATTTGAGGAGACAGCATTTTACTTCCTTACTCTCACCTTTTTTACTTTTTTTTTCTCCTACATAAGGAAATCAGGATAAAAATAAAAAATGTAAGAAAGATGCTCTTAGAAGCTAAGAAGTCACAGCAAGAATAATTTTGATATTTTCATCACAAAAGGGGAAAAATAATGCAAGTCATCTGGTCCCTTGTAAGTTTTGGAGAAAAACAGAAAGAAATCTAACCAGCCAGCCAACCAAACAAAAAATCCCTTTGTCCAGACCTCTTAATATAAACCAGCTTTGCTTAATTTCTTATCTGTCATCAGTTCCATCTTTTCATAGATGGCTATTACAACAAGAATCCTCAAAACCTAACCACAGTATCTTATTATTATTATAAAAAATACTGTGATATTTTTCTTACAATATAAAGTTTTAAATAACATAATCAGAAATATATTTGCAAGTTTATTCTTTTTATATATATGCATATACACATTATTTCATCAAATAGCTTTTTGGAACTTTTACTAAAAATACAACAAAGGTAAAAATCAGGCTGAAAAAGAATCTGTAATAAAAATCTGTAACTTTCAGAGAATAATAAAGATATTGCCTATCTAAACCTCTATCAAAGAATAGTCTCAAAGAAAAACACTGTACCTTTATTTTCACAGGCCATCCACTGTATGGGTCCTTTGTCATAATTATGTTGACCAACAGAAAATGTGAACACACGTACCTATGCAAGTTAAAAAAAATGCATATAACTTATGTAATTAATTAGCTGTGACCCTCAAGTTAGCGATACTTGGATTTTTCATACATTTGAACAGAAAAAGAAAACTGTGAATTTTCCATTTTTTATCACCATAATAGATACAATGTTATTATGATATTTTACATATTCCTATTATTTGGTCCATGAAGTAGAACTCTGGAAGAATGTTCTTTCATACGTCTTTCACTTTAAAGCTCTTACATTGGTTACTGTCCATGAACCTTTTAAATTCCTTTTTTTTTTTTTTAGGGTGGTAATTATAACCAATGAATTAAAATGAACATATGCATGGCAGTAGAATTCAAAGCAATGAAAACCAGGAATTTTTAGGATCTAAAATAATTTCAGGAAAAAAGACATGAAATTTTCAGATACTACAGAAAACAAATTCTCATTTTGCTCAGATGTTCAGTGTTTTTCATGTAAAACCACTAAATTAGTTCAACAGAGTTCCATGAAAGAAATAAACTTCTGATATTTCACTTTAAGCTCTTGATATTCATTAAAGCTACATGTTTTATAAGCGCAATCCTATTCTGTTTAGCCAATGCAACTTCAGTCTATCTCAGCAACTTAGGGGAGTCATGGCTTCAGGAGAATTCACCAAATTATATCCAAGTTTTGGACTGAAAATAGTCTTCTCAGCTGAAATTATCTTCCATGCAAATTGTCTGATTTGAATGAGAAAAATTAAAACCAAAACCTGGTATTGCTGTATACAAATTAAAAATCCTACAAGCCACATAGAGAAAATACAAATATTATGTTTCAGCTTCTGGCTGAACATTTTTCTCCAAAGCTGAGCGTTTCTGTAAAAAGTGGGAAAAATATTTTCCCAACAGTTTTAATAAGCTGCTCGCTGTTATCATGTCCCTCTGAAGGAATGTCCAAGGACCAGACTTTCCTTTTCAAGCATCTCTTTCTTTATGGACCCTTACCTTTACCACTTCACTCTACAAATCACAGATCACAACATGAGACCAGAATATGAATTCCTTTCTATGGAACTTGAGGACTATGTTTAAAATTAAAACAGAATACAATTAATTTGCATGCTATAACTGAGTAATAAGGTAATGTTTTCTTTAAATAATATTCACAATACAAAATTGCAGAGACTCCTTGTCAACTACTGATCATTGCTAAGATTTTAGATGACTATTTATACAAATTTTCATCACATTATTTAGCATGTGCGATTACAACCTAAACCTTCATTTGTCTAATAAGCAACAAAAATTGCATGACAATATCAGAGCTTATGTATTAACCAAGAGCTGTAGGAATAGCTCCAAATCATCAGTCAGCAGCTAGAATTGATAAAAATTTATTAGTGTTGACCCCTATATGCAAGGAGGGCAAACAAAGCTTTGTGTTAGATGTCATTTTTAATTAATAATATGTTTTGATTTCCTTCATCCTTACAAACCCTTTTTAAATACAGACAAAATTTGAAGTTTTTCAGTAAAACTAATAAGACTAACCCATACAGGGTCATTTCTCAGTAATGAGTCAAGCCAGTTATATTTCTAGTTACCCAGACAGGTATGTGAATGACTGCACATGTGTGATGGTAAAATTTTGTTCTGATAGTTCATATGGATAGAGGCAGATGAAAAATGTCTTCTATTACCTTGAAAATATCAATATTGATAGTGTGAACATGTCTTCACCATGTCTACATCTCATTTATTTTTTTTAATACTGTATCACACTGTAAATTCAAGTTACATTTGCCACTGCCCATTTGTTCTTGACCTCTTTTACAAAATGTCAGCTATAATTCTTCTAATGGATCTTTCTGTTTCAATTTATTTGCCACCTACTTTTTTCCAAGCTGAATATCTCAATGTTATTTTCTATTAGTATGTCTCAACTCACAAGGTCCCTTCCTGCTATACTCTTGTTCTTTTTTTTTTGACTCACCACTGCTCCCAGTTTAGTATCCACTAAACACTTGACTCAACTACATTCTTCTCAAAAATTATGGTGCAATAAGAAAAAACCCCACTGAAGGCCATTAGTTGAGTGACCTAATATCTTTTTTGGATTAAAAGTAATTAATTAAGTTAAGACAGAGTCATGGGGGTTTGCTTGTGTGTGTATAAAACATGAGTTAATTAGACTGGACTGTCTAGCATTTGATCTCAAATGTAAAAATGAAACACTGCATTGGATTGAAGTTGTGAAATGGTATGTAATTTAGGGAAAAGAAGCAGCATGTTAAATCTGCAACTAATCTATAAAGAATTTAGAATTTAAATTATTGACAACAAGCAGAGGACAATATATCTGATTTACTGTTCCTTGGATAATTAACAGAGATAAAGAACTGCAATGAAAATTGGAGCTTTTAATTGTTACTTGGTTCGGCAAGAGGGTGGAACATTCAAGAGAGTTTTCTTTTTCCTATTGCCTCATCTGGAATTGAGTAGAATGACAGACCAGCTGGAAAAATGAGTCAGCAAGTCAAATTAAACATGCCAATTTTAGCAAAAAAACATGTTCTGTGCTAACATTTTTTGTGACAGGACTCAAAGTCAGCCAAAGGACTGAAATGTGTCTGTCTATACCTTTTCCTTACAGACATCTCTCCAAAGAAGATAAAAAGCTTTAAAACTAAAAAAGACAGAGTTAATTACTTTTAGTAGGGACTTTATGACTGAGAACACTTGGAGCAACTAGATCAGACACAATTTATGTGAGCACCTCTCCCTTTTCCTGTCCTTCATTTAAGTTTGGTTTCAACCAAGTGGATTTCTGAGTTGAAAAAAACCTGCTAAACTCTTTGATCCCAGTAAGATGTTTTCCATCACCCCTGAGGCCTTGTTATTTCTTCTCTGTGCCTCTTGGCAGGCTCTTAGGTTCTATGTACACTACAGGTTCCTGGGTTCTTTTCCTATGACTCTTGCTCTCCACCATCCACACCAGTGGATGGACACTTCTGTACCCCAAACCGTTTCCCAGGGAAAGTGCAACCTTGTCTCCATACAGGGGAGATCCATTTATTCTCTTCTTAAAGAAAAATGACTTTCAAATCAATAAAAACAATGGAACAATCAGAAAAACAAATAGCAGCTGTCACACTTTCTGATTTTCAGTGGGACTATTCAAAGTAAAGTACTTCTAGAAAGCTCATACCCTTGGAGTAGAAAAGAACTAGAGACAGGCATCAGCCTGCTCTGACAGCCCAGTCAGATATAGTCTTGAAACTGTTCTGAAATATAAAATTCCTAATATCTACCTCCAAGAGTTTAAGCCCAGAGCTGTGTTAGTTCTGTCAGGAATATATCAAGTGCTGGTAACACATAGGCAATTCTCTGTATTTTTCTCACTCTGAAACTAATCTTGGGGAGAAAACACAAAATCTTTTATTCTTTGTATTATTCATTTACAGTATATTTTTCTACTATATATTTATTAAGAAACAAAACAAGTATAGAATTAATGTAAGGACAGTCAGACAGTGAGTAGCAGAGTCTGCTCGGAGAGGTTGTAAAGTCTGCCTCCTTTGAAGTTTTAAAGACCAGACTAGATAAAGCCCTGAGCAACCTGGTTTGATCTTATTCCTGACATTGGACTAGAGACCTCCAGAGGTCCCTTGTAACCTGTCTTATCCTAGGATCTTATGACGGACATCAAAGGAAAACAAGCAAAAATCCAACTCCTAATCAGAGGAAGTGGAAGTCAAAAAAGAAAGCTACAGAAAAGAGAGGAAGTACTATACTGAAGAATAATACAATTGCCTAATTATACTATTCATTTGCTTTTTATTTTCTCTCTATCAGAAAAAGCTCATAAACCCCAAGGTGAATAGGAGTCTGCTACAGATATCAGGGGATGATGGCACTCAAGAGAGTTGTGATGAAGACAGAAATGAAGAGCTACCCACGAAAAAGCTGCTCTGCCTGCTTTTTACCTATCTTGTGCCTTCACTTTGTTATTGGATAAAATAAAGTAAGATTAAATCAGATTTTTCCTTTGGGTGTACCATGTTATGAGTTTTACAGAAAATTAACAGCTTAAGTGAAGTTAATTTGAAGTGGTAACTAAGCACAAAAGTCACACCTGATCCTTAGACCACTGCATATATGTGTAGGCAGTATGTATAAACTTACAAGGGTTTGAGAAACTGCAACCATTCTGCAAGCAGCTCAGAGAGATAGAACATACATATTTTTTTAACAGATATATTATTATTCTTTAATTCTGTGCTATTGCAATGAGAGAGATCTCAATAACCATTTATGCGCATCTCTTCATTTCTCTGTTTAGGAGGAGATTAGCTGACCTTTGGAGATATACATGTCTGTTTATCAGATATCCAGACAGCTACATGATTAATTTACTCAACTAGATGTAGACAAGATGAATCCCATATTTTAGGTCTATCATGTAAAAACAGCAAGAGTGCATCTTTCTCTACCACTAGATAAACAAACAGACAAAAATTGATCTCATCAAATCGTACAACTTCAGTTTTCATGATGACTATGATTTCAGAATATTTTAATCTGGCCTTTGTAACTGCAGTTAAAGATTCACAGATAATCTCTTTTACTATAGACCAAGAGAAGTTGTGATACAGAGGAATAATTCAGTATTTCCAGCATGATCCAGAAAATTATTTTTCCCACTAATGTGATTATCAGATATGATGAAAAATTGTTTGCAGTTTATATTTAATAGGTACACTTCTGATATAAGAGGATAATACACAAGCCTATTTTTTTCTGAATAAAAACATAAAATGGCTTTTCTAAATTCCATTATGCACTCCATCTCCTAAATCACTTATAAGTAAAGCCTTCAAACCACTGAATCATTTTGGTGTCTTCTGCCATAGGTCAGGGAAATGTAATGTGGTTTTCAAGTTGCCACAGTTAAAACTGTGAATACATTTTTTCCTTACTGTCTTTACATCTGTGGGCAGAAATCTGAAGATGATTTTGGATTCCGCT